TCCCCATAGTAACCAGGTGTGTCCTGACGTACAGGACAAAGGTGAGGTGAGGTATGCCGCTGCTGTGTACATATACGTGCCCGACGTTTTTATTGCAGCATAATTTAGGGAACCCGTCGACCAAGAGCGTACGTGCGAGATTTTAAAGAAAGCAGACCTACTTTCAAGATGTGGCCACGACCTTAAGGACGCTATCTACTTGAAGACGAGTTGGTTACTGATTGAACATCTTGTATAGGTTACTCCAGCGGTACTTTAACAGTGAGACTCTTTGAGGAAGTAAAAGGACTGAAAAAAAGGTAGGCCAAGATGGCGGGTAACATTCATGACGACTTCCACAGCCAACTGCTGGCTGGTGAGCGAGAGGAACCGAAGTGGATGAGGAAGAAGCCGCAGCTCACTGTCCTAACGGACAGCGTGGCCAAGGACGAGTCGTCTGATGGCACCGAGGTGCACATGTGTCTGAAGGTGCTGAAGCTAGTACTGTCCATCTTTGTGGGGTGCGCCTTGCTGGCTTGCCTGGTGTCCACCAAGGTTACGACGATCATCATAGCACAGTCTTTGGCTGAAAATTGGAACGCAACTAACGCTACGTCTGGAGACAACTTGAACTGGGTCGGTACGGAGATAGATGTGAAAAGAGAGACGGCCATAGTTGCCCTGACCATCATCATCATGATGCCGTACCTGCTCACCTTCCTCAGGTGTGTGTGGCGAGGCAGGTGGGGCAAGAACACACCTTGGCCGACCCGGGAGGCACTGCTCTTCGTAAGTATTCGTCTTTATTTTCCGTTTAAACGGATTTTAGATCTGTAAAATCGCCAATTGCTGTGCGCCATGGAGGGTTTCAGTTAGTTGTTTCGTTCCAGTCCGGTAATTTTGGATTTAACAATGGTACAAAATGAAATTAGCTTACTTGATTTGACTTAAATTTTTATTTGTTACCATTATTTTTATGTATTATCGTTGTAAAGTTCGATATTGCTTACATAGTAAACGTTTAAAGCATTCGTTGGTAAATCTAACTTTTCGTGCAGTGACATAAACTTCCGTAAGGAGAAGTTTGGGCGTAGCCAAGGTTGTTAGGGAGAACAACAGTTTTGTGAATAAGTCGTGACTATGTTGTCCCCGTGACTCACGTAACAATGCCATAGTTGGCGTTCTGTTTGTACATGTACACATTGCCATACATGCACAGACTAGCTCGCAGCGTTTACTTTTCTTATCTTTCACAAATTAGTTACTAAGTACTAATTTTACCTGCCCCTTTTTTTATAAGTGATCGTTTCCGGGTGGGATCACTACCTGACTCCTTGTTTTTTTCCTTTAGTAAAACAAGTGTCATATAACCTTCACGTCTCACCTAGTTACAACACGTTAGTTTACTGTAGGTAAATAGTCAAACTCAGATAAATCAGCAGTTAACATAAACTTCGGCTTCTGTGTGCTCCTCCGGCTGTGTCGCAGGCCCAATTTCCAGTGCCTCAAACTAAAGAAACTCAAAGTGACTGCAAGAATATAAGTTGTGGCTAACTTGAGTTCACAGTCACTTAGTCTGTGTCCTTTCGTCTGTATTCATCACTGTTTTTCTAAATGAAAAAAAATTAAGTTTCTGTGCCACATGCGTCTAGACTTGTCCCGGCGGCTCGATGCTCCCGCCGCACCAACCACGCTCTTAAGCTGCAGACCATCGAGAGTAAATCCAACTACAACAGACTCTCGTTCTTC